TTTATAAAATGGGGATAATGGTGTAGTGAAGTCTGTCTTACCAGCCCAGCAGAGGGAACATGACCTGCAGCTAATGCAACCTGCAGGAACGGCCTCAACAGAGAGCAGCAAAAAGGACACCAGATTGTGGGGTGACACCATGACTGCTACACAGTTTTATGCCTATCATGGTGCATCTAACATCACGTGCTAATGATTTGAGTTGCAAGGTACCTGCACAAAAAGAAACTCCACGCACACCATGGAACCACACAGTTGGCAGAAAGGGACCATGCTGGGAAACTGCCACCTCCACTGGGAGACACTGTCACCTGGGAACTTCCACCTTGCCCCTCCAGATGGAGACAGGGCTCAGAGAGAATAGAGCCTGTCTTCACCTGCAGCTTTGTCTATTCATGGCTAGCAAATAGATGGAGTCTTTTATAGTGGTTACCATGGCTAATTGACTGCAGCCTTGTTTTCACTCCAGTATCTAGTACTGCTAAAGGGTTTTTACAACAGCACCACTGAGAAGTGCTCACTTGCCCCAGTCAGGACACCAAGCCCAGTGCAATCATGTATTAAGAGACAGACTGCAGCTCCAAGGAGCTTCACATAAAGAACTGCTAGGGTTGGTACTTTACAGAGCAAAGGAAGGAAGAACCAATAAGACTCTAAAATCAACAAGGGAGGAGACAGTCTCACCACTCATTTACATGTTCTTCTCTGAACCAGCCAACCTAGAGGCCAGTCTCCATCTGGGGTTAATGATGAGCCACCTTCTAAAGGCAATTCAGACATTTAAGTTGGGATTCTCTTCCAAATCACCTTCTGGATGAGTTTGCCTCCAAAGATGGCAGCTGGAGTCCAAAGAAGCAAGTTGGTTTATCCAGGTGAGGTTTAGCCAACCTGCCATGGTTGTAACAAAGCCCTGTATAATGAGAATCTTTGGTCGCTGGTTGAACCACAGCTCGTGCTTCTTCCTTGCCAAAACCAAAAGCAGTAAGCCAAGCAGCTCCCCTGTAAATGGAATGTAACCAAGTCTGTTACCTTGTTCCAGTGCCCCAAGGTGGCTTTCAGCAGAGGTCACCTGCACATATGAAGCAGTAGTTAAGAGTTCAAATTATCAAGAATCATGCTAAGTATTTACTTAATAAGGTACAGCCACAGCACATGAAAATAGTTTCAGTAAAATCCTCTCCAACCTCCATTTGCTTATCTTCCAGTCCAGCAAGGACTACACATTTTTGAGGCATTAGACGCAAAGGGTAAAAAGGAACAAAAATACTGTGTCCATGGCTCTTGGAAAAAAGGTCTGTAGTGTTTATTGCTGCCTATAATAGATTTAGTGATTGTAAGGGATGAAAGAGAACATGAGTAGCAAAAAGGCAGATAGAGCAAGGTATGAATAGCAAACAGGCAGGTTAGAGTGAGGTATTTAGTAAGGACAAAGAAGACAATCCAGGTTAAAAAAAGGGGACAATGACCATTGCATCAGGGAACATGACTGCTTCCAAAGGGTCACTTCCTAGACATTGCTTTAGTTGGCATTTTCCCCCGTGATAAGAAGCTACTAAGTGGAACATTAGTTGAGAGTGTGGGAAGGTGGGACCTTCAAAGCACAAAGCAAAAGGTGGTGTAAGCTCAGGGTGGCCTATGCTCCATAGCTAACTGTGGTTAGGTTCCTTCCTCCAGGGTACCTGGCATGGTCTTCACACAAACTGAATCTCTTAAATACTAGCAATTCAAAACCCTAAGATTCAAAATGACCATCTTGACTGGAAAACCGTGCTAAAACAAATTTGTCTATACCTGTGAGCTAATGTCCCCATGCTAAACTTTGGAAAAGCAAGGAATGCATCTGAAGAATTTAAAAAGCATTACAAATGTTTTTTCCTCTCTCTGTACCTTTCAGGAACATTCCTCTCAGCATCACCACTCCCTTAAGAAGACCTGACACAGCCACTTCAGTTGTGTTGCCTTGAAGGGAGTGAAATGCCTCCATGCTTTCTGGGACTGAGAGTGAAGTTCATTGGCTTGATTGGGAATTAAGCACCATGAGCAGGAGGCTGCTCAGCACCTGGGACGACAAGGACCATCCTCTGCAGAGTGACACCACGTTTCTTCCCCCTGCAGACACTGACAAAGCTGTTAGGACTCCAGTTACAGTGCTCCGAGACGAGCCTGGAAGACGATGCTGACACCTGGCAGGGTATCTCTGCAGGCCCCAATAGCTTTCCTCCTTCTACCACCATCTGTAACTGGTTTCCTTCAGGAACTTGGAAGGTTTTGTAGTGATGTGCATCTGAAGACTGAGATTTGGGTTCCGTGCAGAAAAAAAAGAGAAAAGATGCTCTTTTTGCACATTATGGTGCTATTGTACATTTCACACAGTTTACACTACGCTGGCTTTTTAAAAAGACACAGGGGGGTTGCTCTTTTCTCTTAGTTGCACAGTTGAAATTCAGGGAAATTTCACTTTCATCAGATTCACATGGGAGTGAGAGTGGAATTCAGACATAAGAGCTACAGGGCTGAAGAGAGAAACAAAACCAGCCTTGCATCTATGCCTGCACACAGTTCATTGCTTACCAAAACAAGTGGCTGTTACTGAGGGAGGAGAAAGATTTCTTTTGTTTTTCTCAGGAAAGCACATCTCAGTGTCACAATTTACCTCTGCCAAAGTAACCTGGATAAAGGCTGTGAAGTGTTTACAAGAAGCTGGTAAAAACAAAAATCCCTGAAGTAAAAAACCCTCCTGGAAATCTTCTATAATGAAGAGAAAGGTTTTGGTAGTTTGGGGTTTTTCTCTTCAGAAAAGAGCACCATGAAAGCTCTACTATGAACATAGTAATGGACAAATGGACACAGCAATGCACAAACGGTTGCTAGTTACCAGTAGCCACACCTGGTAGCCAAACTGGTAAAATGCCATTGGCTTGTGTAGAAGAGCAGAGACTCCCAAAAGGGCTGGCACAGCCAGGAGCTGCAGGATGGGACTGCACTGAAAGACAAACTCAGCAGTTCATTAAAACCTCACATAAACAGAATGTTATAATACTTTTACAAATCTGGACAAGCCCAGGATCTATTCTCATTTTTGTTCCTTTTTTTTCCCCCTGATCACTATCATCACGTTAAGCAGACAGCTCAGAACAGCTTCCCATCGCCTTTCTATTTTTAAAAGCTATTTCTTCTGACAAGAAACCCACTCTTGGGAAGCAGTATTTTTTTTCCCCATGGCAGCAGCGATGGGGTACTCCACACAAAGAAGCACCTAGCAGTTTGGTTCACATTTTTTAATAACATGGCACAATTTACATTACACAAGTCTTCGCTGATGAGGAAACATGCTGAAGATTGAGAGCCGCTTCACTTTGCTTTTCACATAGGATCTAGAAAGGACTTTATTACATACAGGATAAACAGCAAAAAGGTTTGTATATAACAATCTCTTTACAATACTGAAAGCTACCACTACGGTTCCAGTGTACATATTCTTCAGGGTTGGGGTTTTTTTGTATTTTTTCCTTTTGTTCTTAAAAAAAACCAAAACAAAACCACTGCACAACATCTGGAGTTCACAAAGTCTGAAGCTCACAACTAAACCTTCAGTTGACTACTAAAATAGATCTCTGATCATTAGAAACAACTGTCTGTAGGTAACTTTTGTCTTTTTTTTCCTTTTTTTTTTTCTTTTTTGCCAAAACAGGGTAACAACTTCAGATAGCACTTTAATACACTAGAAGACCAATGGAACTAGTTTTATTTCATACATATATTTTACAGTCCAGTAGACAAGGTATTGAATTCTCTCTGATAAAGTCATATTCTCTCCAAATATTTAGACAAGAAACTCAACACGTTATAAAAAAGTGTTATGAAAAGACAGATTTCAGAAGATTGATGCATATTTTTAAAAAGGACCATGTTCTTCTTGTTACTTCATGTCTTCTATGATTAGGGAACAACCAGGCTGGCCTGTTAACTATTCACAGACTTTATTACCAACTGAAATACAAGAAATTGCAATATGAAATCTGCATCAGAGTTCATTAATTCAACTACTGATCCACAGTGAATACATGTCTAGCATTTAGAAAAGTATCAGCTTTCTTGTAGGATTTGTTTCAATGTGGCTAAAAATCACTTAACAAAAAAGAAAGTGTGTGTACAGAGAAAAACGACACACTGGCAATAAAAAGAAACCCAAACATGAATGGATGTAAGCAGATATTCTTCCAAAAATAAATCTGACATGTTAAGTGATGAAAGTTCTGGAAAATCCCCAGGGTTTGATTATTACTCTGTTTAACCCAGATGAATGTGACTGAAACCCAAGCTGTCATGCCTGCAGCCTCGGATCACAGGTCACCAACCCTGACATGTTCCAGGGAACACATGAGCTACAGCAACATCAGCACCTCGATGCAGGGGTTCAGGGAGACAACCACACTCCTCGTGGGCTGTTCCTTTATCAAAACAAGCAGGAGAAACACGTTTTCTAGTACAGATGAGCTTGTTCAGGGAAAATATGACTTTAGTTATGTTGTGTGTTGAAAAGGCTCCTTTAAGTTATAAAGGCTTTTGTGAAAAGCCTTAAAATTCATTGCATAGTTGAAGGGGTTTAGCTGTCTATAACAATATATGTAACACAGCATAAGCCAACTGTGTTGATCAATATTAAGTTTGCAAATAGCACAGTTTAAGAAGTATTAATGTATTATGTTACTTAATTTTATCTATTTACATTTGTACAAAGTAAAGCTTTCATCTTACCCTTTTTGCATATATGAACCATTAACCCATGAAGCAATCTTTTTACATAAATATCTACAATTGTCTTCACTTCTGGTCTGAAAGACCTTTGAATGGTTAACATTGGTGGTGGTTTGTTTCTAGTCAAGTCATTCAGATTCATGTCTTGTTCTTCAGTTCAAATTTTTAAACTTAGAAATAAAATAGGAGACACAAGGAACATGTGGACTTGGCTAAAAGATCTGGAAAATTTCAACATATAATATACAAAAAAACCATTTCAAAATCTTTGCACTCGGATCTATACATATTGTACAGGGGGTCACATCCCCAGTCTGTATCCATGACTAGTAAGAAGGTCTTTATATTATGTTCATTTACAAGGTTCTTCCCCTCTTTTTCTGTTTTTTATTCAGTCTCACTCTGCTTATCGAGCCTCAATGTCCTTGAGGGTGTGAGAAGGAGGCCTCTCCCTCATCTCTGTTGACAGAGGAGTAGTCCTTCTGGGAGACCCAGGCCGAGGTCCCAGAGTAGAAATAAGAGGTGGAGGGGCACTGAGAGCTGCTGTGGGGGGAGTTTTATTGAGGATGCCATTTTGGTGTCCTGTTGGGGGACTGACCCTGGGGTAGTGCATGCTTGGAAGTCCAGGTGTGATGAGGCTCGGGTGAGGCAGGTGCCCGTCCAGGGCGGCAGGATGAACCGAGTGCAGGCGCGCGTGTTCGTAGTCCTCTCTGAGCATGTGCAACCTCTCCCTCTCATCCAGGTGGTTGCCCCTCTCGTGCTCACGTCGAGGGTCAACAGAGAGAGGGTGGTGGTGATGGTGGTGGTGATTATAGTCGTGAGGTTCTCGATCCCTGAATGACCTGTCTGCTTCATATAATCTCGGCGTAGAAAGACGGTGAAGGGGGTCGTTTCTTAGCAAAAAGTCTCTGCCCAGGGGGTCTCTCCGATGAATATCCAGCTCTCTGTAAGGATCTCTTAAAGGATCTCTCATTGGATCCCAGTGGAAAGAAGGATAGGGGAAACGTTCTCCACCAGGAATTGGGCTAATTCCCATAAAAGGGGTCATCATGCGAGTCCTATCCAGGCCACTGATGCTGTTCATGTGATGGATGCCACTTACACCTACAGTCATGGGCATAGACACTAAAGGACTTGGATGGACATTTGATGTAGATATAGGTGGTGGCTGGTCAGATGACCTATGAGTCTGAGGTCCCTCAGGCTGAACATCATGGTCTTCCTTTCGCTCCTCCTTCACTTTGACTTCATTGCTTTTCTTGGGATTATCGTACGCCGGCTCATTCTTCCTCTCCACCTCACGGTTTGAAGTACTGTTAGGCCTGGTGCTCTCCACAACGGGGGGCCTGGTATAGGGTGAAGGAACCCTGGACATTTGCTTAGACTCTTCCACCACTCGGCTGTCATGGCTCAGGCCTTCCTTCTCTGAAATATAGTTGTCCTTCACCTTGTGCTCTTCAACATTCATCTCCTTCCGAGATTCGGGGTGATCCCTCTCGCGTTCCTTGGGCTTCTCTTTGTCTCGAGCCTCGGGGTTCAGATGGCTCCTCATCTGCTCATTTGAGCTGCGAGTATGTCCGAGGGAGTTGACTGGATGGATAGGTGCTGGCGAAGGGTGGCTGGAGTGTCTTTTCTCAATGCTCTCCCTGGAAGAAAGAGAAGTGTAAAAATGAAGGCGTGAGAAACTCTGCAAATAAAACAGCATCTAGGGTGTCTGACTTGACACTCCTTGCTTTGCAGAAAGCTAGTAACATGCACTGGTCAACACTCTGCTCTTTGGCACACCCCAAACACCACAAGAACCCTCTCTAAACTAGACCTATTCTACTATCTCAACCCTGAAGCTGCTTTGGGAATGATCTGATTGAGATTTCAAACACTTCAGTCCACAGAAGGCTCCCAAGGGAACGTACCTCTAGTACACAGATTTCTAAGACAATGGCCTTAACTGCTTGCAGAGAGAGAAAAAAATAAAAACATACTAATTTCATTTAAAAAAAAAAAGTGAGGCTGTGAAATCCAAATGACATGGGTCATAGTACTGTATCTGCTTCTTCTATTAAGGAAAAGAGATGACATTTTGTTCAGCTGATTTTTAAATAACTGCTAGGCCTATGTATATTACTAATTTCTTCTCTGTTTTCTTCAATCTTCTACCTTTTCAATTCACTCCTCACAACTCAATTTACTTCTTAAAACTGAAAACAAAAACCTCTCAAGACACCAGTGCCAGTGGAGACAATCCACCTCTCTGGGCAGATGAGGCACTTCTCCAAATGTGCAAGGAGCCTCAGTGCAAGAGCTTTACCAGAGGCAGCCATCACAGATGGCCTAGCACAGATCAGTCTGCCCTGTGTGGCATCATTCAGGTCAGCTCTGAAAACATCATCATCTCTTTGGAGTCACTTGCTCTTCAGATTACCAACCCCCTCCCATTCATAGGGCAGAGCAATCAGAGCAGGACAGAGGCAAAGCACCTCCCTGCTGATGCCAGGAAGTCTCAAAATACTGTGAATTCATTTCATCCTTCAAACCTCTTTATGTTGCACAAACGATGATGGAATTCTTGTCTGGCAGTGGACAAAACCTCAGCGTGGATCCTATACCAACTATTTTCTGCAAGCAGTGTTGACCAGGAGTTGGTATGGACAGCACTAAGTGAAAAAGCTTCCTATTTAAAATGAATCAAATTCATAAGGTAAATCTAATCCCTCACTTCCAACGAGTTTAACCTCACTAATTTCAACTGATCTCCGAGCTGGAGTCTCTCCATAAAGTCAGCTCCAGGCATTCAGTGCTGGACACCTGCTGTTTGCTGAGGGTGGCAGTTCTGTTCCATGAGGGGAGGTGGGTGATGTGCTGCTAAAGGCAGGAGGGAGGGCTGAGCAGTGAGGTTCTGCTGTGCCAACCAGCTCCTGTCCACACATTTCTCTCTGGGTGCTGCATCCCTGCCCAGCAGAGTGGCCTGAACGTGCCTGGGTGAGGTTGAAACTCACTCTGGGCAAGAAAAGCAATCCTGCT